CGGCTAGCCCCTGGGAGGCCCACCCAAGTTGCAGAGGGGCTCCCTGACAGCCTATCTGGGGCTCCAGCTGTAAGCTGTCCCTCAGCAACTTTGACTGTAGCTGCCTGCCACCAAAAGGTGGCGCCAGAACAGCCAGGCCAGTCAAGCACGGTATGGGAACTGGGGTCTCCGCAACTCAGGTATCAAGCCACCCGAGGTCAAGGAGTCCCTGCTCAGACAGAGGGCCAGGAGAGTCTTCTCTGCCAGGAGTGTGTCCACCAGCTTGTGATGGCCACTGGCTGTGGAAAGAGGCACCCCCAGCCTAAGATTCTTAAGTGACGGCAGTGCCCAGGCTGCTGGCCCACAGCACAAAGTCCAGAGGGGCAGCCTGTGGGGAAACTGTCATTCCAGGGTGGCAGTACTCTGGCCATTCCCACTCGGATTCCATTCCTGGATTGGGGCCCAGCACAGTGAAGGGGAAGGCCAGTGGAGACCAAGTGGAGGTCATAGGAGGTAGACAGGGCTGACTGAGCTCCAAAATGAGGCTCTTGGGGACCCACTGTCACTGGGGGACTGGATGCCAGCAAGAGCACACCCAAGGCAGAGTGCTGGGCACCCCCTCACTGTCCTTCAGCCAGAGGTCACGTGGCGTGAAGGAGGGGAGTAGCAGGTGGTACACGGGTAAAAGTGTGACCAGGGGCATGACCCCTGACCACAGGTCCCCAGGAAAGTGAGCTTGCCACCCCGGGCTTCAGAAGGCACCCCTTCAAACAGTGCCAGCGCTCAGGGCCAGGGCACAATTCCGGGCACATAGGCACCGCTGGTAGGGAGCTGCAGGACAGCAGGAAGTCAGCTTCGTGGAAGGCTAGATGAAGAAACACAACTTGGGCTTTTGTCAGAGGACCAAGAAAAGGGGAAGCTGGGATGTGGGGTGGGAGTAGGGTCTGCAAGTTGGGGGGGAGGGGAGTGGGAAGGGAACATGACATGACCACAGATGGGGTCATCTGGGGAGAGGGAGAAGGACGGAGCACACTGGGCTGTCCCCTCCAGCTCTGACCCTCAGAGCACGTGGTTTTGATGAGCAGCTCACTAAAAATCAACCTGCCCCTCCTGCAGCTTGGGGGAAGGGGTCCTCAACGAGAACCCTGGGTTGCAGCAGGAGGGTAAACATCAGGTCGTCCTGAGGTGGAAAGCACTGGGAGACGGGCAGCGAGGCAGGGCCTGCAGGCACATGCCCCACTTAACCCAGGAGTGAAGTCAGAGGTGACTCAGTTGGCCCAGTGAGGTGGTGGCTTAGTGCGGCAGCTAAGCCGTGTTGGTAGAGGGGTGGGACTGCGGGCAGATAGGCTAACCTGTCCAAGAGCCAGGGTGAGCAGGGCTGCCCTGGAAAACACCTTGTAGGTTTCTGGCCAGAGGAAGAATCCCTGGAGTGGGGGTGGAGGGGAGTGCTAAGGAGGGCAGGCAAGGAGTGGGTGCAGGAGAGAGCTCTGGAAGCATGTGGGAACACAGCCCAAATATCCCAGTTCTGCACAAGGCAAGGGTCCCTTTCCCACCCCGTTGTCCCCCCCCCAAGTGCCTCGCCTGCAGTAAGTGCTCAATCAGGAGCTGCCTAACTAAATGGCAAGTCACACTCTGGAAGGCAGGATTGCCAGAAAAGGAATGGGTGAGCTGGTTCAGAGGCTCCAGAGCAGGCGTGTCCTGGGAGAAGGGGAAGTCCTGATGTGGTGTCCCACCACAACTGACCCACTCCTGGCTCGTGACGGGGAGAACAAGCCTCATTCAGCAGCACGTGACCCACACAAGTCGAGGCAGCAGCGTTTTTTGGAGCACAGCCCCCAAGCACCCACCCACAGGTGTTTACAGTCAGCAGAGACCCTGTTTGGAGTTCAAACCCAACACATACCTTCCTGGGAGCCAACCCTGTGCAGAGGTGGGGCAGGGTGGGGTCAGCAGGGCCCCAAACCAGACCTACCTGTGGAAGGCTAGACCAGGCCAGACCAGTCCCAGGGGCTACCACCAGCCAGGACCTGCTTCCCACTCCAAGAGTCACGACTCAGGCTCACGTGCCCTCCTCCCAGATAAGGCTGTCCAGAGCCTGCCAAGCCCACCCTGGGGAAGCCCAGCTGTCATCTCAGAAAGAAGGCGGGCACCAAGTACTTTGGGAGGCTCCTTCTCCCACGTCCAAGGTAGCCCTCCCACCCGCAGGACAAGAAGGTCATTCATTCATTCATCAGGGCCATGGCTGCAAGGCTCCCTCCCAGTCCCAGATAGGACACCCCATGCCACCCCCACCCCTCCTCCATCATCGGTCCCTTGATTCTCAAGACCAAGCCCTCACTTTCCCAACCAGCTCACACAGCTGACGGCGCTATTGGGAAACCGCGACGAACCTGAACCGGACGCGCCCTCCGCCGGGCGGGGGGCAAACGGGCAGGGGTTGGGGGGGGACAGAGCCATCTGTCCCC